TCTCTACATTGATATAAACATGATGTTATATTGGTTACTCTGGCTTTGATGAATAAATTCAGATATTTTTTTTCACTTGTTTAGATTTGATGAGCTTGTAAAGAAATTCAAAGTAGAGTATCACGCCGGTGGAGCCACTCAGAACTCGGTTAAGATCGCTCAGGTCAGTCGCACGCACTCTTAATGCCATAAATGCTCGTTTCTGTGTGAAGACTTGAGTTGGCCGGCGCTAATCTAAGCTGGTGCGGTGACCCACAGTGGATGATCCAGGAGCCCCACAAAGTCGGCACGTTCTTCGGCTGCATTGGGAAAGATAAGTTCGGAGAGATCCTCAAGCAGAAGGCGGAGGAGGCCCATGTGGACGCTCATTACTACGAGCAAGACCAAGAGCCCACGGGGACGTGCGCTGCTTGCATCACCGGAGATAACAGGTCGGTGATTAAAAGGAGAATTGTAAAGTGCGTTAATGATAAATGTCTCATTATATTGTTTCTGTCTTCCAGGTCTTTGGTAGCTAACCTAGCAGCTGCTAACTGTTATAAGAAGGAGAATCATTTAGACTTGGAAGAAAACTGGGAGCTGGTGGAAAAAGCGAAAGTCTACTATATTGCTGTGAGTCTATTAACCTACCACAGGTTTTTTTTTTTCCTTCAAATATGGTGCACGCATACTAATACAGGCTTAATCTCTGAATTAAAACCAGTTTTACCTCAGAGGAAGTTTATAGTATCTTTTGCATATCTTTAACAATTAAAGACGGAGCAATAAGTCTCTTGAGGAATAGCATCCAAACGCAGCAGCTATGGAGCTTCTGCTCCACTTACACCTAAAATTAGTGAATGCTCAGCAGTCCACAGTAGCTGAGATTGCTTTAATCTCTAAGTGCATAAATGCTGTGAAATATTTTTAGTTTATCAGTTGAAATTTCTTCAAAAAGCTTTAATGAGTTACTTTATCTCTAATTGAAGTGGAGATGAGATGCAGTTGACGGGTTTCATAAGTATGTTCAAAATGCAGGGAGGAGAAAAACATCTTGACTATGATACAATTACATTTGTGTGATACGTAAAAGAACACTGTATGATGCAAATAAGACATTTTCTCTTAAAAAAGACATCGACTTCACAAGACCTACTAACATTGAAATTTTCTGTGTTAAAATTAGCCCTGTCGATTTGTTGTTGTTAGCGATCCATTAGTTGCACCAGATGTCTGGCCTGTTTTGATAACGGTGTGATTTTCCAGGGCTTCTTCCTGACTGTGTCTTTGGAGTCCATCCTGAAAGTGGCAAAGCACGCTTCTGAAAAGAACAAGCTATTCTGCATGAACCTTTCTGCACCTTTCATCTGCCAGTTCTTCAAGGACAACCTCATGCAGGTTATGCCTTACATTGACGTGTTATTCGGCAATGAATCGGTAAGACAGTGATTGCCACATATTGATCTGTTGTACTTGATGTAAATCAGAATCATGAATGTCATATATTTGCTTTTTCAGGAGGCAGCAGCTTTTGCTAAGGAGCAGGACTTTGAAGTGAGTGGATTTTCTTGTTTTCTGTGCATCCATTAACAGGTTCTGTTAAGTTGATGTTTTCTTGTACTTTTTTTTTTTCAGACTAAAGACATTAAGGAGATTGCCAAGAAAGCCCAGGCGTTACCCAAAGTTAACACAAAGAGACAGAGAATTGTTGTATTTACCCAGGGAAAGGACGAAACTATCATGGCCCTCAGTAAGATATTCTTTCTCTTCACGTTTTTGTCTTTAATCTCGAGTTTCATATTCCCAGACTAAAGTCTTGTCTGTTTAGGTGATAAGATTGAGACATTCCCTGTCCTTAAGATTGACCCAAAGGATATTGTTGACACAAATGGTGCAGGTGACGCTTTTGTTGGAGGTAAGAATATTTGACTTTGTGTATCTCTTGTTTTACCTCTGCAGTCATAATAATGTTGTCCTCTGGGCGGTGCAGGCTTCCTGTCTGGGCTTGTCCAGGAGAAACCTCTGGATCAGTGCGTCAGGGCAGCACATTACTCTGCTAATGTCATCATCAGACGAGCAGGTTGCACCTTCCCAGAAAAGCCTGACTTCATATGAGGAACGCCGCAAAGCTTTTCCTTCAGCCTGAAAACCTCATGACCCACACTGCCTATGCTTGTCAGATCCCCATTGTGTTTGTGTTTTTTGATTGGTCACCTAATGTCAATTCTTTTTAAAGCATCTGCTTATCTTTACTTGCCTGTTGATGTCTTGTCTGTCTCCATTTTGTCCTCAAGAGGTCAGCAGAGGACCATTCAGCCAACATCAGAGGGTTTATTTTTATTACTTGATGCTGACAATTAAGAATATAGGGTTGCAAGTTTCTAGTTTTCATTATGCCAAAAATTCAGTACCTTTTTCCTGTTGGAATTCCTCCTCCAGCTTCTAGCTGCGCAGACATGGACGTCGCTACAAGCACTCTCATGTCGTCTCTCAAGTCTGCAGCCACTTTCAGAAACTGACTTCAAGCACAAATGAGGACTACAGAGCAAAACATCACTATCACAATGGATTTTTGAAGATATAGGTCTGAAACTTTCATCAAGAATTTTAGATAAGTGTTTTATCTACTTTGAGGAGTTGAAAAACCAAATGTTTTCATTTTTGATGCACAATTTTTAGTTGCAGCAAAGCTTCCACCTCAGCTCATTCTGTTTAAACGGGTCAGTTTAACACGTTTTAGGTGAGCTGTGGGCCTTTTTTGTCTTTTAGTCCCAGCTCTGAAATTACTACACATGGTGCTGATTGGATGAGCATACCTCTGGTCTTGGACTATGAACCAGAATTAATGGTTTTGGTTAAGTAATAGTAAGTTTAACGTGAAAAACATCTGCAGGAGCGAAATGTCTTTATGCCCTTGGGGAAATACTTAAACTGGCTGAAACAGTTCTGTTCTGTTCATTACAGGTATAAATTTGGAGCATTTATTATTACATTTCTTAACATTATCCCTGAACATTGAAATATTTTATTTTGGATTCATGTCAGAGTGTGTACTATGAAAGGTTGAATCCTGGTTAAAACTTCTGAAAACGGTACTGGACTAAATCATTTCATTTTGCCTTTGTTATAAAGTGATGTTTAAATCAGGCAGCGCACCATCTGATGGAACAAGGCCTCAAAGTTTCGCATGTCTCAAGAAAACAACCTTATCGTGTTCATGGGAAAAATACAAAACAAATCATTTTAAAAAACCATTTTGTGCTTTAATGTTTTTTTTCTTCTTTCTGTTGAAGAAAAGAACCACCACAGCATGATGCCACCTCCACCATGTGCCATTACGGCCAAGGTGTGTTCAGTGTTAACATCTTTAATTTATACATTTATACTTTTAATTATTTAAATTATAGTTTAGAATTTTCTTTGTCATTAAAAATATTTCACTTCCACAACCTGACCTTGATTTAGTTTAGTCAGTTTTACATGTGATTACTTGGTGACTTTCTAATCACTATTTTGATATCTCTGGGCATTTTTTTTTTCAACCATTTGACTTAAGTGATTAAAAACAAAAGATAACTTGAAGTTGTTCAACCTGTTTTACGGCACTGGTATTTATGTTCATGTGGAGCCAAGCTTATTATACTTAAAAAATTTGTATTTGGTAAATGTAAACGGCATTTCAAAGAGGTTGGAGTTGTTGGAAGTTGTCTCAGTGGGCATTAAATGAACACTCACTGTTCATTTATTTTCTTAAAGTCACCTGGGTCAGGACTGATCAGGAGAATAAAAAATGGATGTTTTTCAATCAAGTTTGATACGGCTGTTGTCAGAGGTAAAATCTCTGCTTTAAAAAAAAAGAAAGACGAAGAGAAAATTTTTGGAAGAAAACCAATACTTTCATCACTTATCTGAGAAGACAAACAGCCAAAGAGGCACAGAATAAATAGCATGATGATGAGTGTCGAACTGAGGGGGTGAGGGGGTTTCACTTGAACAGCAGTCTGTTATAGAACCAAACAGCTTAAACAATTTCTTCTTGTATTAAATTATGTCATGTTGTGAAAATTCAACTTGAACAGCTTTGACTATTGACAAAGTTAATACATTTTGAGAAAAATGTGCCGTTTCAGAGTAATGGAGAGGGTGTTTCAAAACTTGCCTGCTGGGAATGTTTCTCCATTTGAGGCTTCTCCACGTCCAGATGCACCAAAAAAGCCTTATGTGACCTTGTCTTTCTGGTTTCAAGTGATGGTCAAGTTGTCCATAACAGTTGCAGACCATGTGATATTTGAACATGAATAATAAAATTCAATTTAACTACGCCAATTTCATTTTAACTTGTTCATATTTTTAATACACAAACATCAAAATACTGTAAGAACAAGCAATTAGTTGGTAAGGGCACATAAAAGTTTATTTTAGCTGAGGCCACTTTTAACTATCTGTCCATTGCACTGCAGATTCGGATCATATTTCATAAAACACCTGAAGGCTGTAATAGCAGAAAGTTGTTGGATCTTTTGTCCTAAAATTATTTTGTGCTATATGCTTAGCTTTATTTATGTGTTTACTTGTTTCTGCAAGGAAGCAGTTTTAAATAACTCTCCTTGTTTGTTTGTTTGTTTATGATTTTTTTTTTTGGGTATCTCTCCCAAAGCTAATTTATACATTTTTAAATACATTACCAGTAAAACAAAATGTCTTCATATGGAAAACATTATAATGTTAAACTAAAATGTGGATAGTAATTCCATTACCAATGTAAAGGCTACATTTATTTAAAAAAAAAAAGTTAACGTTAGATGAAATGCGTAACAAAGATATAACCGCAACTTACTGTGGGTTTAAAAGCAAGGTGAAACTTAACATAAATGCATTTACATAATTCTGAAAACAAAACATACAATTAGATTATTAATGATTAATATGGTCTCAAAGCAACACGTCCACTCAAAGCTCAGATGTCTAATATAGCCTGAGGTCAGTATGAAAATACACAACCTGATGCTATGGTTCAGATTTCTCTACAAAGCTGTCCACATGACTGAGAACGTGGATGTGCAGCTTAGACGTGGTTTAGTTTTAGTGTGTTGTGTTTGTCATCAGTGAGTCTGATTACTGAGTTATAAAAGGAACGAAGGTGCAGAAGAAGAAGAAGACAGAACTGAAGGAGAAATGTTTTTACTGCAATAAACCAAGGTAAGCCTGAATGCTTTATATTGGAAACACATTGGATGTGCTTTAGGTTTTTGTCATGTCTGGCTAAGTTTATTATACTGACTTGTACAGAATGTACTCAAAGATGGTGGTCATTGTATTTGTGTGTCTGTACAGTATGTCTCTTAGAGATCCCCCGTATGAACCTCCCTCCGTCTCTGAACTACAGGAGTTCTTACTGGCAGACAGACGCCCAACTGGCCATGTCAATCAAGTCTGGCCTAATATTTATATAGGCAATGAGTAGGCTGACCTCTATTAACATGCATGTAAAGTAACATCCTGCATCCTTACTACAGACATGAATCTGTGTTCATGTTTCAGGGTAGCAGCACGTGACAGAGGAGATCTTCATAGCCTGGGTATTACGCACATCGTCAATGCTGCTCATGGACCTCCAACCCATGGCAATGGTCCCTGCTTTTATGTCAACACTGGCCCACGTTTCTACAGAGACATGAATGTGGATTATTATGGGGTGGAGGCTGATGACGCAACAAACTTCATCCTCAGTCCTTATTTCTATCCAACAGCACGATACATCAGAGCTGCACGCGCAATGGGAGGCAAGTCAGCATACTGAGAGTTGCATAGTATGCACAACCCAGCTTACATTATTTCAGAGCTTGTTTCACAAATACAGTCAACTAACTAATCAATTGGTTAGTAGGTAAATGTAAAAAAAAAAAAAAACTGGTTGCATATGTGTTCAAACCTTTGAACAAACACTTTATTGAAAGACTGTAGGTTCTGTAATCCAAAGATTTAATTGAACAGACCCCAGGATAACAGTAAAAAGTTCCATATATACATTCACTATGCCATTTTGGTCTAGCCAAAGTTTGGTTCAAGCAAATACTACCAGATTGAGATTTGGAGAGTTGAAAAAAATCATATACAAGAAGATCAAATGCCAACAAACATTGTTAATCATACTTTAGGGTTGTGGACATTCATGCAACAAGGGTGTAGCAGCTTTTTTGTTTTTCTACTTATTTATTTTTTTACATTTGTTTTCAATTAAACTGAAAAGAATAAATATCACAAAAGCTAGAAAAAGTTTTGAAATAATAATTGTGGTCTAATTTTTTCACAAACCTGCCATTTCAATTTGGGTTTTCTACACATTTGAGATTCTACGTTACTGATATTTATGTGTACATATGACCAAGTTGAAGGTAATCGGTAACATTTGTGTCCCAGGGAAAGTGTTTGTACACTGTCTGATGGGAGTGAGCCGTTCTGCAACCCTAGTGTTGGCCTTCCTGATGATCACTGAGGGCCTGCGGCTGCAGGAGGCCGTGGCCGCTGTAAGGTCACACAGAGACATCTGTCCCAACCCAGGCTTCCTGCTGCAGCTACGTTGCCTTGACATGAGCCTAGAGAGGGAGAGGAGAAGAAAAAGACAGGCCCAGGCATTGTAAAAGCACACTCATACACAAATTAAAAAATGAGCATTAACCTAAAAAGGCACCAGGGCAGACATACATCTGTGTTGCTCCAGAGGTCATTTAGCCAAGCAGGGAGAAACAGCGTCCCTGACAGAGCTGAGGGAAATTCTCTGGACCAATAGGAAGCCTGTCGGTTCTGTCGATGAAGTGTGGCCAAAACTCTACATTGGAGATGAGTGAGTGGTTAAGTCTCTTGTAATGTGGCAGAAATATATAGAGTAAAACACTTTGTGTGTGACTTGTGTCTGAAGGTCTGTTGCTCGAGATAAAACCAGACTCTCATCTCTGGGTGTTACTCATGTGCTGAACGCTGCAGCAGGTCAACATCGGATCAACACCGGTCAGAAGTTTTACACTGATATTGAAGTCGTGTACCATGGCGTTGAGGCTGCAGACCATCCAGCGTTCAATCTGCAGCCATTTTTCAACTCTGCTGCACAGTTCATAGACAGCGCCTTGAAGGAAAATGGTCAGTCCATCACAATACATTCAAATACCTGGACATTTGTAATAAAAAAAAATTAAAAAATAGGTCGACTCAGCCAGAAAACAGATAATGAGTTGGATCTTTCAAATAATGACCCAAAACATTTGACCAATCGCCACAAATTGTCGTTAACAAGTCACAAAACCTTCTAAAACCAGATGAAAATATTTATGTATCTTTACTAGGAGCAAGAATAAGTATGGAAAAGACTATGCATGCTACCTAAATAAAGAAATATTTACATTTCCTGATTCTTAAAATTACAAATAATACCATTGAGTAGAGCAAACATGCTATTCTTACTGTAAATGAGTTTACTAAATAAAGTTTCTTTCAGGGAAAGTTCTTGTTCACTGTGCCATGGGTGTGAGCCGCTCTGGCGCTTTGGTTTTGGCCTATTTGATGATCCACCAGGGCCTGATGTTAACGGAGGCCATCATGGCTCTGCGTTTGTGTCGAGACATCGGACCCAACTCTGGATTTCTGGAACAACTCAGGAAGCTGGAGTTGAGCCTTCGTACACAGAGCAGACAGATCGCTGAAGACAGTAATGAAGGAAGACCTGTTTCTCTGTAATGAGGTTTTACTGGAATGTCTCCCCTTGGACAAATTGGTTTTATTGGGTGTCCCAGTTCTAAACCAGTTTACAAAGATGTATCTACTGAATGCTTAATGATTTTCTCCAACAACAATTGTCAACAAATGTTTATTGAGTCACACCCGGTCATACATTCTTGACTTCAACATTGTTTTAATAATTTGTGTTGCTGATTCAAGGACGGTTATGATAAAAGACTTGAACAGTGAAAAAGAACTGCGAAAATCATTTCCCTGCTTGGACTATTTATGTGTGCATGTGTGTGTGTGTGTGCCCGTGTGTGTGTGTGTGCGTGCACGTGTGTGTGTGTCATGTTGTCCAGATCAGTTTTATGGTAGAGCTGTCTAAAAATAGACATCTGGGTCCAGATCCATATCCGTGTCTTTAGTCTTTCTGTGTTGGGAGATCTCTGTTCATATTCTCACTCACATGTTCATTGCATGCGTTTATTAAGGAAAGATCGCCTGCTTCCTGCTTAGTGACAGATTTATATAGGGTGAGTATTTTATCTTTATTTGTTTGTATCTATTTAATGCATTGGAGTAATCTGAGTCCAGCTTTCCTTGTCTTTCAGTGAGTCAGAGATGAACAAGGCAACACACAAAATCTGGTGTGTATTTCTATTCAGGCTCCCTGAATAGAAATACACTTTGTAAAACTACTCTTGCTGCTTTTCCAGCTGCATGTCTTGCCACTGATTTTTAGTTGGATTGAGCTCTTGACCTTGTCTGGGTCACTGTAATTCACGAATGTGCTTTGATGTAAATTCATCTTCCTGAACTCTTGTTCTCAGGGCCCCCTGTGCTCCATGTTTTAGGTGTTTTCCTGCTGCCATTACCTCCTTGCACACAGAGGAGGTAATGCAATAATTTCATTCAGATCCACTGGGGCAAAAATGCACACAGAACAGGATATTCAGTGGGCTCTGTGAAATGCTCAAAGCATCTAACTACATTAAAGTTCTCTACAACTGCTGTGTTCCTTCATGAAGTTGTTTGTTTACTAAGGTTCTCCAACAAACTTCCAAGGTCTTCAGAGAGGAGTTGAATTTGTACTAAGCTACATTTTGGTGCACTCCATTGATTATATAACAGTTCGTTGCAGTGGATTTATTGCATTATGACTTCGCAATAGAGGAATATCAGAGGAATTGGTGTAGAATGCAAATGCTTGCCATAATTTTCAGATTGGTAATGGTAAAATCATCTTAAAACTATGACTTCACAATTAAGGGCAAGCAGAATAATTATACTTTTTAAAGTAAATTGTGTAAAGAATCTACTGTAAAAAGATCAAGGTCAAGCTGTTAGAAATCTACGGTTTGCCGTCACGGTTTTGGTTCCCAGCCTGTTGACCTTTGCCCCATGTCTTCCCCCTCTCTCTCTCTGAACCCTCTTTCCTGTCTGGCCGTCATTAAATAAAGGCCACTAGTGCCAGAAGAAAACCTTTAAAAAAATCAATCTTTCAAGATCATTTATATTTGTTGAATTTGTGCGTGAGTTTTACGACGGTTATGTTTTACGTTTAAATATAACTTGAATCCAATCCTTTGCATATATTTTAAAGATCATACCTTGTGTTTAATGTGTATAATATTTTTTTTATCACAGGGATGTGTAAGGAAATGACCTCGTGTGCAGTGACCTCTAAGAGAAATCCATATGCAGCAGTGCAGGTAGACCCCGACAGTGATTACATCACACCAGGTACATTAGACCTGGAGCAGCTCTTCTGGACAGGCACCACAGCTCCATACATCCATGTGAACCAGGTCTGGCCAAGAATTTACATCGGAGATGAGTGAGTTAACTCAGACAGCTTTGTTTGCATGGATGCACTCATACTATTAATCGTGCAAATAAATACAAGGTTTGTGCTGAAAGCCACCTATTGGATGTGTTGCATGAAAACAGGAAAACAGCTCTCGAGCGTCCTGAGCTGAAGGACCTGGGTGTCACTCATGTCCTGAATGCAGCAGAAGGAAAGTGGAACAATGTGCTGACTGGTGCGAATTACTACAAAGACCTGAACATCCAGTATCTTGGTGTGGAAGCTGATGACAAACCCACATTCAACATCTCCCAGTACTTCCTCCCTGCAGCAGAGTTTATCCACGAGGCCCTCAGCCAACCACAGAGTGAGTTAGGGAGTCTGATATAGAGTAATAATTGCATATAAGCTTTACCTCAGAGGAAGGTTCTTGTAGTTTGTTCTTTAGTCTAATGTGTCCACGTGTTTTTTTTTTGGTTTTTGGTTTTTTCAGACAAGGTGTTGGTTCACTGTGTGATGGGCCGAAGCAGGTCAGCCACTTTGGTCTTGGCGTACTTGATGATGAAGCACAGCTTAACTGTAGTGGAAGCAATTGAGCATGTGCAGCAGAAACGCTGCATTCTGCCTAATCATGGCTTCCTGAAACAGCTCAGAGCACTGGACATCACGCTCCAAGAGGACAAGCTGAGACAGAAAAGACACATGGAAAACCAAGAAGGCAAAAAAATAAGATAATATACCTCTGTACTTAATTCTATCTGTGATGTGGCCTTATTTGAACATAAGTGTATATTTTTTATTGTGGATTCAGAGCCTCTGAAAAGGGCATTTTGTGGCATCTTGGATCACCTTGGCTTCTTATCGGACTATATTTCTTATTAGGATTAGTTTAGTTCATATACTTCTTGCACTCACCTGGTTTCCATGCATAAATCAAAAGCCATTTTTATCCAAGTTGAGGTCAAACCATCAGTGAATCATTCCAAAAGCTTAACATTACCTAATCTTTTATGGTTTTGAGTTTGGTGTCGGGTGGGTCGGTTTATAGGTTTTCTTGTTTTAAGATATCCCTGTATTTTGTATATACCTGTCTGCTTCTTTATCATTTCATGGGTTTCTGGGATTTTTTTCATTCTTTTTAATGAGTCATTTTTCCTCTGTTTCTCCCTTTGATTAGCATTCATCTTCTGCGTCTAAGCTTTCTGCTTCTCCTCAAAATAGCTGAGTTGGTAACCACTTACTTGTTTTCACACCAGGAAAACAGGTTTTCACACCAGCAAACACTTAACCAGTGTCCCCATCTTTGTTCGATCTACTTTTTTTCCCCTCCCCTTGTCTTGCCAGTTACCTCTTTGGGGGTTTATGTCTTTGTGTATCCAGTTACTTATGCTAGTTTGCTCCTCAGGTTTTCATTAAAATTCACCTCATCGTAATGATTGTCTCTCTTCCGTTTGCATTTGCTTCCTCCTACAAAAAATGAAATAATAAAGAAAGTTGAAAGAATCACCACTAAAAGTTAATTGTAAAATCTATTTTGTTTATTTTGTCATTGGGAATTATTAAAAGGTATTTTACTGAATCAAAGAACAAAGGAACAGCTTAATAAATGAGAAACAAACAAGAATTTAATATAAGAAGGGCATTCGATTCATAAATTAAAGCAGTGTTATCTATTTGGTCCGAGATGTAAAATAGAGCACACAGAAAGACATGTTCAAGCTGATTAATCCGTAGTTATTAACATCATGGTGTGGAGATACTTTTCTTTTAATTTTGGAGTTCAGTGATTAACATAGAAATAGATAAAAATATTTGGGTTGACAGACGTGAACAGTAATTACATATAACATGTTGTGGGACCTAGAAACTACAACAACATACTCATAAAGTGCAAAAATAAAGAAAAGATAAAATAAAATAGAAACTCCAAATGTTTTCCTATGGTTCACACAAATACACTATTTACAGCCCCTCCATAAAGTGATTTAATTGGAGCACAGCATGCTGAGGTCATGAGAAACCAAGGACTGATTAAAAACGGGGAGAACGACGTCAGAGAACAGGACACAGCGTCCTTTTCTGAGTCAGCTCTTCATCCAGCTTCAGGAGAAGTGTCAGGAAGTTCCGGTTGGGATAAATGGCCCGTTTTTTGACAACATGTGTCAGAGCATCTCTTAGTGAAAAACGATGCCTCAGCATGAGGTAGGCCAGAACCAAAGTGGCTGATCGACTCACACCCATGATGCAGTGGACCAACACATTCCCTGTGGAAAAGAATAATAATAATAATAATAAAAACATGAGGGAAAAGGAAATAAAAACTTAATTTTGCTTAATATATGTGCAAGATAATGAATGTACCATCCTTGCTTTTCAGCCCTTTATGAATGAAGTCAGTAGCAGATTTAAAGTATTGGCTGAGGTCAAAGTGGTCTGAATCTTCCGCTGGGATGCCAAAGTAAACACACGTGTTCCCATAAAAGCTCTGGTCACCGATGCTGCCCTGCTTGGAGTGTGCTGCGTTCAGAACATGAGTGATGCTAAGCTTATGTAATCTGTTTTTGTTCTGTGCAACAGCCCTGAGAATCACAAAGAGAACATATATAAAACAAAACTGTGGGATTATTCTAAATATTCACAGTTTAGCAGCACAAACAACTATGTAAGCATTCAATAAATGTTATATCCTGACAATTTAAACACACATTTTTGACAGGTTCAGGATAAAATATAATTTCAGCGTTTGTAAGAGCTGATAGGCATTGTGATAACTGATTGTGTTGGTTATTAATAATGGAAGTTATTTTTGCTTTGACGTGTGCCATAAATCATAGACCTGATAAAATCTTCCAAATTCTAGATTATTAAAGTTTCTCCATCAAATTAGACAATAAAAAAAAAATGATAGAAATTGAATTTAACAGCTCGGTATTATATTGTTTCTGCTTTCATACACATCACACTCACACATTTCCTATGAACAAGTTGGGCCAGACTTCATCCACAGGTGTGAGCTCCAGCGTGCAGGAGTCCAAGATGAGCTCAAGTTCCTTGATGACCACCAGGTTCTGTCGCTGGCCGTTCCTCGACATTCTTCCTGCGCGCAGAATCCGGCTCTGAGCAGACGCCTGCGCTGCCCCCTGATGCCACAGCCCACCGCCTCTGAGAGGCATGAGCAGCTGGTTGATTTATTGAGTGGCGCTCAGCCCGGCTCCAAAATTAGCCCGGTGTTTTCAACGTGCTCTTGCTGGCGGGACGTTAGGAGTTATTTAATGTTGCTGGTGGATTGATTAGTCTGTTCACATGGGAGTTCTCTCTCCTCACACAAGGGTCAAAACAGATAGGGGAGGAGGAACACAGCTGAATAGTGTAGGTCACAAATGCAGAAAGTAATTGTCGTAGCAGCATTTGTATTTTAGTTTTTAAGTTTTTTGTGTTCATATTCTGTTGTTTAGACACCTGCTCCTTTTCTCTAACTCGGTTGTTTCTCCACTCATGACCCTCTCCTGTTATGTGTTCCAGTAATCATCTTTTCCATGCATTGGAGTCCCTCAATTCAGTCACTCCTTAGTCAGATCCTCTTTTGGTTGTTTTCCTTGGTGTTTTGCTCCACTGCTGTTTGTTGTAAGTCTTTTTTTCATCTAATACAAATCCAATAAAAGCATAACCAATTTAACCAACTGACAAAAGAAATGTTCATTTCAGCTCATTTTGTCTTTTGACATCAGTGCTTGCTCAAGGTCTACAAGCTGTCGTAGAAATCCCCTGTTAGGGAAAATCCAACGCTTCTGTTGCACACAGCGTATTGAAGACCGAAGACTGAAGCCATGATGGATCATCAGGTAGGCCAAAACCAGCGCAGCCGAGCGGCTCACTCCCACAGCACAGTGGACAAAAATCTTCCCTGAAAACCATTAAAAAAAAAAAAAACGTAAATATGAAACTCCACTTGTTTGTCACTTGTTGTATGTAATTTGTCAAAGCATGTCAGCTCTACCTCCCGATGATAAAGCCAGGTGAATGAACTCTGCAGCAGGGTGGAAAAAAGGTGAGAGGTCAAAAGTTGGCAGGTCGTTGGCGGGCACGCCGTAGTACTTCACTGTGGTTCCATAGAAATCATCTCTGCCTTTGCAGCAGAGTTTCCCGTGGGAGGCGTTCAGCACATGAGTGATTCCCAGCTGCCAGAGTCCAAACTTATCATGAGACATAAACCTGAAACATGTGACATAATGGGGCTGTATTCACATGCATTCAATACATTTCAAATGGACAATATTAATGTATGTAACTATGTCAGGCTAACTGCAGACCGGGATACTCACATGTCTCCCAGAAAAAGACTCGGCCACACCTCATCTACGTGGTGACACGAGCGAGGAGCTGAATGTAAAATCTCCTCAAGCTCATGAAGAGCTGGAGTCTCACCTGTGCTGCACATGTGTCCTTCCTTCTCCTCTGTATTTGCCCGCTTCGAGTCCTCTGTACCGCATTTCTCCCCCATTACAACACCTGACATTTCTGTGTTTTCAGTGCTTACGCCACTCTGTAGTTTTCCTGAAGAGGAAATGACCTTCCCCTCCACTCTACCAGTGGGGTGGACTGCCACAGACAGGTGGTGCCTTTTAGCACAGGCTGGTAAAATCATTTGAACACATGTTTTTTAACATGTCAGTCTTTAAAAGCCACTTCATAGTTCTTGCAAATCAGCCAAACAACGTCATAATTTTGTTCCTTTTTTTTTTTTTTTTTTTTACTTATCTGGTTTAACATTGCCTGTAATCAGATCCCTGCTTTTCCCAGGACTGGCCTGCAGATGTCAGTATGTTCCCAGCTGCATGTCTGCAGGAGGCAAGGAGTTCTTCTTTGCTGATGTTGTTTGTTAGTGGAGTCTTCCTGTTTGGTGTTGCCTAGCTGTCTGACACATGTTGGCCATGACACAACCCTGGGAGTGGAGAAACAGGCAGACAGTTTGTCTGAGACGTCCAGAGCCACTGTGACACTTGGCCTTTTTGACAAGGTAGGCTAACATTGATTTGAAATTGTTTCCACAGGAAGTTTAGAACAACATTATATGCCTTGTGTGACCTAGTTCTTCTCAGCTGAGTATATTCGTCCCCCTTTGTAGGTTTCTAAAATAATGTCTCTTTGTGTCTCTGCTCTGGGGACACTGTAAGCCCTTTGTGGAGCTGTCTCTGTCTGAAACACACTGGGAGCTGTCTCTGTCCCAGTTGGGACAGAGACACTGCTCCCTGTGACTCAGTGTAAGCTGACCAAATGTGCTGACATGGCACTCATTCATCCCAAGCAAAGCCTCGGCCACTGAAGACACCAGCAAACACTAGAGCCTCGATGAAAATAAGCCATTTCTCTTTCAGGAGCGGAGCAGAAGCTGTGCTGGTGAGTGATGTAAGTTTCACATGTGAATATGTAGCACTCTTTGGTCTGCTTGTTGGTTTCATTACTTGCTCTGTTGTTCACTGGTGACAGTGACTGACAGATGATTTGCATGTTGATTTGCACACAACATTTAGTGTGTTGTAAAATAAAATATATGCATGCTGGGAACAGGGAGGTTTCAGTTGCAGCTTGAGCCAACATTTCTCATGTTTGAACCAGTATGACCACTATTAGTAGAATGATGTCATAGTGGGCGAAACTGTTGTCCTGGGAAATCCTCTAAAACGCCATTATAATAATCTGACCTGGTGATTTTAGTGTTACTTATAGTTTTAATTTTTTTTTTTTCTGATTACCACTAGTTCTAGTTCTTGTTTATAGAACTAGGATGTCAACATTATTCCAACAATTTCATTTAAATGTGAAAATTGAACTTAGGTTTTGTGGTATTTCTCAGTTGTTTGTTTTATTCAAAAAGGATCAACGGGTGTGGATACATCTTAAGGCATAAATGGAAATAAGGGTGCAACCAAATAATTGGTTTTCAGGCTTTTCCTGATTTTCTGGTTACTTTTCAGACCTGGCTTTGTCTTCTTTTTTTTTTTGTTTGTTTTGTCTAAAAAATGAGATAAGACATACTACCACTTGGTGGTATAGTGAACTTCATCAAGATAGAAAGCATCATGAGCACAAGACATGCTGAAAAATTGTCTCAAGGCATCAACCAATACATTAAATATTCCAAATGGACAGTGACCCAAAGTGACCCCAGCTTAAATACAAAGTGGATTAAGGACTTCAAAGTCAGTGGATCAGAGTGGTAGCCACACATTTCCATCACATACTAAGGAAATGAAATCAAAATGCTGAATATAAAGACATTTATAAGCACTTGTCTTACTCATTACTTGCATCATCTTGCAAAAAATGTATGCCTTTGTCATGGTAAACAAAACATAATGGTAAAAATGTAATATACAAAAATGTGTTTTTAGCAAGTGAAAAGCCTGTTTTACAAAAGTATTTTAGTCTAAAACTAGTCACGATTTTTTGCATTTGATACTGTTAAATGCACATCGAAAACATAAAAAAATAACCATAATTTTGTTTAAAAATTAACACTTGTACAAAGACATTTGTTACAAGGTCAGTGCAACAAATAAGAGTGTTCAGCAGCCTCATATATCCTTTAATAGTCAATTAATTGCAAAATAAAGTGTTATATCTTAAATGCTTGTGCCATTTCATGGATTCTATGTTGCAAAATATGGTGGTGAGTTCAAACCAGTCAAATGTCTCCTGAGCATGAACGCTATCATTTATTTTACAAAGTTGATACAACTCCAGTCCCGTTGGTGCAGAGTTGCAGACCTTTGGAGCAGCATCACCGCAAGCTTATCGAAAAGGTCAAAGGGTGAAAACTGGGGGGGAAAGAGCTGAAGCACCACAGCTAATTAATCAATGTTGAGTCTTTGTGCAGTACAGAAGGTCACTCACTTTGTTTCTATGTGAAGATTTGCATAGTTTGCAACTCTTGCTGTGTTTCTCCAAGTTATATGTTCATTTATTTTCTATAAATGATAAACAACAGTTGTACAATATAGAGGGCAATTATTTGTTTTGGTTTAACCTTTTTCTGCTTCATGTGCATGCTTATAATACAAGGTACTGTTCTGTGGTGGTGTAAACCACCCTGAACAAACAATGCAGGGTGTTTTCATAAGTAATATGAAATAAGAGCTGGAGAAGACCAAGCAAACATAACATTTAATGACACCAAAACATGGCATCTAAAATTGGGGACAGAATGAGGAATAGAATTGCTAAATTTGAGCAAATGAATAAAAAGATGTTGTAGGAAATATAAGAAAACTAAATCTTCTTCCCAAAATTATCAAATAGTAGTCAGGATTAATTAAGAGGAGAATGGAAATTAGAAGGAAGGATCATTTAAAACACTTGCTTTTGTGAATGTGAATGCAAACACATTCCCCACTTCAGATTTTTCGATTTTTTAAAACTCTTAGACTTATTTGTGCTATATGAATAAATATTCTTTATTTTCTTTTGGTCTATGATATAAGATTCATATAAAATGTGTTGGCTCTTGTGGCTTTGCTGCAACAAATTTTAGAAATTCACTGTAAGTCAGTGAACTTACAATTTTTTTCAGATGCTTTGTGTTTCTGTGTACAGCAGGATGTCAGAGTCAAACGGCCGTGTGAGCTCCTGGAGCAGTAGCCAAGTGGCCCAGTGGCTGCAGGACGAAGGTTTCGGGCAGTACGTGGACTTGTTGTGTTCGCAGCACCGCATCGATGGCGTCAGTCTGCTGGCTCTGACTGAAGCCGACCTGCGGGGTCCTCCCCTTAGCCTCACTGTGCTGGGACACATCAAACGCCTGAATGTAGCCCTCCGGCGCCTCCAGAGGGAGAATAAAGCTGAGCTGGAGGAGCTGGGTCTATGGCCTCCAGATGCTAACTCTGCTGGACTCTCGCTGGGCGCTTCGAGGGCTGAGTGGAGCTGTGATGGAGCTGAAAGAAGGGGATGTAATGGAGGAGATCATTTGTGCAATGGGATGGAGCTGCGGCTGAGGAACGGTAGCAGTCATGGGTGTGCGCCTGGGGCAGCGCTATGTCAAGCACACTCCAATGGGAGGTTTCAACAGCCAATGATGGGCAGATTGGATCCTGAGGTCTGGAAGACGGTCATTAGTTCTGTATATGTATTCTTAGTGTGTGGACTGACCTCCTTCGTCATGGTTATTGTGCATGAGCGTGTCCCTGACATGAGGACTTACCCGCCTCTTCCTGATATATTCCTGGACAGGTATGAACCGACCTGCTTAGCTTGTGTGTTTTTCAATGCTAACAACAGTGAAAATCCTCACTAGGATTTCAATACTTGTTATGCGACTTTATCTCCTTGGTTTGCAAACACTTTCTCCTAATCTACAGATACATATTTTCCTTCTTTCACAGTGTACCCAGAATCCCTTGGGCATTTGTGATGGCTGAAGCTTGTGGCCTTATCTTGTGTTACATGTTTTTGTTGATCCTGCTCCTTCACAAGCACAGGTATTCCCTTTTCCAATAATCCAATAATGAGCACTCTGCTCATTGTGCCAGGAGTTTTGATGCAAGCTTTCACTCTGTCTGTAATTCAGGTCAATTCTCCTCAGACGGCTGTGTTCTCTGATGGGAACAGTGTTTCTGCTTCGTTGTTGCACCATGTTTGTCACCTCGCTCTCTGTGCCTGGGCAGCACCTGAAATGTGCCAGCCTGGTAGGTTACACGGAAGTGTTACTCTAAACAATAGAGTTGCTATGTTTTCATTCTTGAGTAAATAACCTGTAGCTACAGTCCTGAGTTAACTGTGTGAGTCAAAGTATATTTTTTTGTCCCTTAAGTCTTATGGTGACACTTGGGGAAAGATCCAGAGAGCCCTGGCCATATGGAGTGGGTTTGGGATGACTCTTACAGGTGTCCAGACCTGTGGAGACTACATGTTCAGCGGCCACACTGTGGTCATCACAATGCTCAACTTCTTTGTCACTGAATGTAAGTTGTTTTTTGGTTTGCAATGACTGTCTTGTTTCTTAAGAATAATGGAGGAAAAGACATTGCTCAATGTTTCTCTTGTGTCTGTTGTTGGAGCAGTTAATGAATTATCAAAACTATGTAAAATATCCATCAGCACCACCTCAGCTTATATGCCAGGCACTCAGTTCTGCTAGCAGCAGTGTTCTCACTAAAACTAGGAGAAGAGAGCACATAAGCTAAGTTTATAGTCCTTACACTGACTATAAACTATAAGTAAAGGAGTAGAGAAAGAACAGAAGGCTCAGAATTAACTCAAACTAATCTTAATGTTGATATTAACCTTAAGAAAATATCTCAATCTTTGCAAAATGCGCAAAATCCAAAAAAGATAACATGAATATGAAAAAAAAATGCATTTACTCTAGAAATTTGAATCTGAAAAATTATGGCAATTTCACATAAAGATGTAAAAGAATCCTGCACGTACATCTACCAGATTTGTTTTGCTAATTTCTTGTACTTCCAGACACACCGAGAAACTGGAATTTGATCCATACCATCTCCTGGGTGTTGAACCTGTTTGGGATTTTCTTCATCCTGGCGGCCCATGAGCACTACTCCATCGATGTCTTCATAGCCTTCTACATCACCACACGCCTCTTCCTCTACTACCACACACTAGCCAACACACGTGCCTTCCAGCACAGTCGCAGGGCTCGCATTTGGTTCCCCATGTTTTCCTTTTTTGAGTGCAATGTGAATGGACCCGTTCCTAACCAGTATCACTGGCCCTTCAGTAAACCAGCCTTCATGAAAATTCTAATTGGATAAAGAGTCTTGAACAATAATCGAGCTTTTTCGTAGCAGTGCCTCAAATATATTTTTTTTACGTTAATTACATTGTTATGTTCATGTTTCTTCTTTTGCAAATTAATTATTGTTTTTCTCAGGTTCAAGTGAACAGCTATGCAGTTTAAGTTGAGTACTTTAAAAATCTTTAAAAAGATGAGCTCCATTTAGCAGACTTCTGTCAGTATGCTATATAGAGCTGGCAGCTAGTTAGCTTAGCATACAGGAAACTTTTCTTTCAGATTTAAATTGCACGTCTTTTGATAAATTAATAATACTGACTTGTTTATCATAAAAGCGGAGGACACTGGCATTTTCTGGAAGATTGTACACTATGTAGCAATTTTATTAACTTCCACCTTTTGGATGTTTACAGCTCAATAGTAATTTATAAAATTTTGTATACAAAGTAATGCAATATGACAAGTTCTTTTTTAAAGAGTGAATTTGCTGAAAGTTTACATTTTGCTGCAAAGAGCACTTTAGTAAGTTCATCCAAAATAGCCTTTTTATCAATATGCAACCAAATACTTGTACTTCCAGACACACCGAGAAACTGGAAAGATTTATTTCAGGGACATTTTTATTTCTGTCATTTTACATTAAATGAATAGTTGACTTATAATGAATTTGAAATGGAAAATTAAGTTTATGATTCAGTTATTTTTTGTATTTTTATCTTACTTTTGCATACAGTGTAGATATACTTGACATTTGTTTTGTTACTTGGTGGAAAGAAAACACTTTGTCAACCAAAGACTGGAAGTTTGTTTACAATAATGTGGCTTATTTTTTGTTTTATTTTCTTCTCTTTTGTCTTATGAATGAAGTTTTTGTTTTGGAAAACTTTCATATTGGTCTTCAGCTTTTTTTTACACTGCAGCTGTGTGCATGTGTCTTTATGTAAATGACCAAAAAGAGCATGTTGCGTCATGTAGTCTCTTCGTTCTAAGAAATGTTCTTGAACATGCAATTTTAACGTAATCTGTGCACTTGTTCCCCACCTTAAAACAAATGTCTGACAAATCACTGTTCAAATATTTGAATCAAAGAAATGCAGGGCTGCACACCCACTGATATAAACCATCATTGTAACTCTCAGCTTTCATACACTAATCTCTTAATGACTGCATCAGATCTCATCTGAAGATTATATGTATTTGGCAAATTGGGGCTGCTGTAATTCTTACTAATTAATATATTTGGAATAAACAAAACTTTTTTGTAGGCTCTGGTTATGGTTTCACTTTTTTAAATGGTTCATAAACGAATGTCATAAAATTGCCTAACTGTGTCATTGTAATCACAGTGAAAATGTGTTTTTTGAATTTTTGACTAAAATTATAAAACAGCATTTTTATTCTCTTAGGTTGTTCTGTGGCTGAAATGAGCCTTTTTTAAACAGGGGGAAAATGTTTTATCTCCTAGTAAAACTAAAAATATTAATTCTGTCTGTGGGCAAAACCAATTTGAAATTATTGAAGCAACTTTTTACTGCTAGAGCAATTAATCATGCTTGATTCAGTCAGGGAAGGCTTACGACTTTTGTGCTGCAGATTATAAATATAGATTATGTGTTGCAGAAGAAACAATGAATTTTCCCAAACCAAAACATTGCAGGCAATTGTAATTGCAATGTTGTTTTTGAAGCAAACAGAAACAAAAGGCATGTTTTACATCAATTTTAACTATTTGAATTCATCCAATGTTCATAAACCCCAGACACCATAAAACACCTTTTTCACAGATGTCTTTTTCTTCAGACTTCTCTCCCTGTACTTGTTTTTTGTCTCCTAGGTCTTTTTGTCCTGTGTCACTCTGTCTGCTTCTTCCAGGAGTTGGTGATGATGGATTTGACAAACCCTCCAAAGGGTGAGTAATATCTTGCCACCTGCAAAGACAGACAGTAGAATAAACAATAAAAGTGCAGAGGATGATTTGGGAAGGTGGAACGCTTTCTTCATTACTCAAAGTGCTTTTAGAAAAAAAAAAACAGCTGGGGTTTGCTTTAGTTTTTAGAGATACAAACAAAAGGTTTAGCTGCTCACAAGCGTTTAAGATTGGCATGATAGAAAATTCAAAAGCTATTGCACTTCAAGAATTCTTGGTGACGAATAATGCAGGGTTCACATCACTTAGAAACCACACCACTAAAATCAACACAGAAAGGATTAGCAGCTGTCAAGGATTTATCAGAGATAAACACATCACCTGCTTCTCTGAAATGGGTTGAATTTGTTTACACAAAGGGTGTGTTGATGAAGATGGGAAGGAACGTGGATTTGGGTCTGAATGGATGAGAGAGCACATGGCGTGCTCCGGCAGTTTTTACTCTCTTTCGTACAATATTTTCCTGAATATTAGTAATATACAATTGTCACCCCTCACAAAACAAAAATCGTAATCCTTCTCAACATTTCAAAACATAAGCTTCAAATTGCATGAAATCAGATCTTGTTCTTAACTCCTACTTAATCCAACACAAGTCTCATACGAGCAGAATTGTGAGATTTAAAGTGGATATTTTCTTTAGGTGCAAGTGTGACAAAATAATTGTTGTAAAGACGGATAATGTTCATCCATAATAAATGCAAATATCTGTGTGGGTGCAGAACACAGCTGCCTACATATCTGAAAAATTTGTGGAAATATGATGGATGTTTTTTAGCATATAAGTAGTACTTTTATCCTGAAAAATTACTCACTAGGACTGGGAATTAAATAGGTAGGCTACATAAAGATCAGAAGATAAAATAAATTACCTTCAGCCTGTTGAAGGTAATCGAACTTCTTGAACCTTTTCACATTGTATCATATTCCAAACACCCATTTTAATGAATTTCATTTGGGATTTTTTTAAATTTTAGATCAACACAAAGTAGCAAATAATTGCAAAGTAAAAGTGAGGACAAGTGTTTTGTTTTTTTTAAAATACACATTTTTTAAAATAAAATTATGTCAAAACCATGGCATGCATGTTTTTAAACTACCTCAATTAAATTCAGGGTCAACTAAATTGAGTAAAACAAAGCCCACCTGTGTTATTTAATGCTGGTATAAATTCAGTTACTCTGTGAACCCAGCTGAAAGATAACCAAAAAAGTTCTGTTTGAGATAAAGTGAGACCAAAACTAAACTTTGCAGTCTTCTTGGAAATCACTTTGATTTAGGCCAGCTGCTTTGTGTGGGAGAAAACTCAAACTGCACTTCACACTGAAAGCATCAAATTGATACAGAAACATGGTGGTGGCAGCATCATGCTGTAGTGATGATTTTCTTCAGCTCAGAATTTGAAACAGGTCAGAGTTGATGGAAAGACACACCGTCTTTCCATCATTCCAGCAGGATGATTGTAATCATTCATCCATGGAATGTATTATTATATATGGCATATGTAATGGAATGAAACATATTCATATGTTTCATTGGTTTAATCAAGGTCCAGATCCTATTGATGATCATCCTCAAGACCTGAAAAATCCTGATATGATGGTGCAAATTTTCCAAAATGCAATGGATGAAACATGTCTCCTAGATCAGAGCTGGCAAAAACACACCCCAACAGCATACAGCTCTAACAGCAGAAAACAGGTAGTTCTACAAAATATTGACTCATGGTGGCTGAATACATATGGATGCCACAATTTTCAAAAAGAAAACATTTAAATAAAATCCTTTCTCCTGCAGTTCACCCTAATGTGCCATTTTGTCTTTGTCTATCACATCATACTGTAATGTGACAAATTGTGGAAAAACTAACCAAAAACCTAGTAAGTTAATTTGTTCTCCTTTCTTTTTTTAAACTATATCTAGCTTACAAAACCATCATGACAATTATGTTTTTTCTCCCTGTTGGGTCTGAAGGATGCCTAATGCCACTGAGGAGTTTGAGCTTGTTGTGGTTAAAGACGCCTGCTCTGCCAAGACGGTGCAAAAGACTGACAAAACACATCCATGTTATCCTTTCTGAAAACACAATACAGACTCTAATGTTTAAGACACAACTTCAGTCCGATATCCTGATGCTATTTCACAATAGTAATTCGGAGTTATGCAGTTTACACTCAGCATAAAGCCAATAAAACAGCAGTGCCTGTCCTACTTTGTCTTGTCATAATTGAAAATCAACTGGTAATAAAGGTGCACCTTCCAGCTGTGATTCGTCTTTGCTAAGCAATTTGCCCACAGTCTTTGCAGCAGCTGATGTAGTTCAATGATCCCACCACTGTGTGACAGCAGAGATCGACTCTCCGAGGGTCTCTGGCACCCAAACGGCTCCAACAGCCCAATTATAGCTGTTCTCCCCTCGCTGCTGATTCTGACTGAAACGCTCTGGCTATTATGATAGTCAGCTCCTTCTTTAACTCTCCTCCCTGTGGACTCACACCTGTTCAGAGCATCATCTCCTGTGTTCAAGGCATCACAGAAACTCTTTATTCAGCCTCCGCCACACGTGAGTGACTTATGTCTTCCAGACAATAATGATGTAATGAGTAGGATAATAATTCAGTGGAAGTGATTCTAAATATTTCATCACTTAAATTGCATGCAGTGTGGTTTATGTCTTGTAATCATTTTTGCTTATTAAGTATTTATGTTCAAAGATATTTTCTGAATGATACATTTAAACAATAGTATTTGATTGTTGTTGTTTTATCAGAAGTGTGTGCCATTTTAGCAGCTAAAATGAAGAAAAGACAAAAAAATAAATCAAAAACCTGGGGAAAAGATAAGCCTTTTCACAGCGCGGTGTGCAAAGGTGAAGATAAATCTCATTACAGTGGACATGTATTTTGAGGACTCACCTACAATCAGAGACACCCCAAGCAGAGAACAACGGGAGTCAGGTCATTATTACAGATTGAGAAGACCATACAGATTCCAGCTGCCTTCACTCTGAGCTTCCACATAGAGAGGGTAAAAAATAAGAAAATCTGGTTTCATTGAGTATATCTACAATGGATTCACGGAAGCAATTTAGAAAAAAACAAACAAAAAAAAGGTGTAAGCAGCATGGCTTTTAAGAATTAAAATTAAATGTTTTCTAAATAAGTTTAATCACACTAAAGCGTTTTTGTTTCAAATGCATCAAGTAATCTGTGTCCCTGTCATTTTCATTCTCAGGCACATTCATTTGATCTGTGACTCTACTTGTACAGAAAAACACATTTAATTTCCCCCAAAGGCTTAGCCTCAAATGTTTTTACATGCCACAACATATTACAATAAATTTTCTCAATGAATACTAATCACAGCATCGTCAAAGGTCAATTGTTTCTGATAAATAGAATATGTAATTCTAATTCATTCAATGAAACGTATTTTCTAAATAATAAAGTGGAGGATATATGCTCTTAGACTGAAAAAGGAAAAAGCTTCTGTGTTCTGCACAATGCTGCTTTCTATGTATAAAGAAAAACCCAAGGTGAACATAATTTATGGTCGGCCATTTGTACATTACTATGTTGGCTGTCCATCTGAACAATGAAAGACACTTTGATGATTGAAAAGATAAGAGTACAATGGAGTGGGTTATGATGTTCCCTCAACCTACAGCTTCGGCTCAAGGATGGGACCAAGAATAACACACCAACAAGCTGAATGTCCAGTCTGTGGTGTTGGATCAGTGCAATATGAAACAGTTAATAGCAATGGGTATTTTATCCTTGGTGTTTCTAGTTCTGAATTAAGCTCTTCTAGTTGTGGCAATACAATTGCTTTGCCACCCCTTAACAAAGGATGATCAGAGCTGTGCCACAGTGCCCATAGCTCAGTCCACACACTGACAGGGTTGGTTAGTAAGGAGGCAGGGTGAAGTGACTGATAGCTGAGTGCGTGTGCCGCTAATAGAAAGTGACAGTTTCATTTTGTTTATGATGTTGGCTTTCACAGCACATGTCCAAGGATTGAGGGGAGACGGCTTGAATCCATTTTTAGGATTCTGACAATGTCACGCCCTTTCACTTTGACGTACAATATCAGTCATTGTGCTGAAGAGAAAAAGACAAATCTGTACTGCAGGGCACGCGCAATAATTTTAGAGTCACAAAGCTGGTGTCTTTATCTTGAAATGCGTGTGGATTTTTGGGCAATGAATGAAAAGGTCTTTGTGTGTACAAATAAACAATAAAAAGATGTTGGTTACTACTCTAGGTCAAACAATAAGGTGAAAAAAAATATATGTATATTTTGGTTTTGGCATCTATAGCATTTCTTGATAGAACTTGT